GATGGCCGAATAACGTACCGGAAACATCCGCATGACTCCCGGGGAATTCTCATTTCTTTGACCGTTGGGAAACAGACGATGAAGTACAACCTCTCCTGACAGGATGTCAAGGTCATTACTGCTCCGTCTGCTGCCACTGCCACCCTCAGTCCTGCTCGGCGGTCACTCCTCGCCCGGTTCTGCAGATCTTCTGTTACTTCTCGGTTACAACAACCTTCCCTTTGTTGTTTGGTTCATTTGTAACTTGGCTTGGCCTGATTATGTGATCAAAGTAAAGGGTTGTTTTCGCAGTACATTCTGAGTGTTTGAATCTTTTAAATTTGTGTTACTGGTGCACACGGTATGTGGCGCGTGCTGACAAAATGAGTTACTTCTCGGATTCAAGCCTTATGGAAATAAATACATCATTCTTATAGGTGAAGTTTTTACAAATTATGAGTATGGAATAATAAAAGACGGGTTATAGTTAAAGAATATGGCATCAATAGAAAATCTGCGAATTTGACGCTCATGTCAATTTTTGGCCAATATTTCCATTTGAGAATTGTGAGAAGTAATTCATTTTGTCAGCATGCCTCACACATGTGCATGATTTTGAACTGCCTTCTACTTCCATGCTTAGCCCGAGGTCTACGGGTGCGGTTGGCGGGTGCTCTGATGAGGTGTACACGAGTGGCCCGTGTGGGCCTGCAGTGAGGAAGCCCCCCCCAAGTTCCCACCACAAAGTTCACACAAAGGCCCTGGAACAATTTCTAACTCTCTGAGCCCTGGTCTCAAACATAGACAGGAGCGGTTTTTGCATTTTTTCCAAGACGATCAGATTATGCTAGGCTTATAATATATATTTCTTGCACGATGCTTTAGTTGAATCATTTTCCTCTCTGGAAATGACGAAGACTTTGGAAATTACGGAAGTTGTTACGACAAAAAACTACGTTCACTTTGGTGACCTGCTGAAGGCCCAAGGTGGGTGGTTGGCGGGTGCTCTAGTGTGGTTTACTTTTTCTTTCCTATCAAACATATGTCGTGCTTATCTCCCCCCCTTCTTTTCTGTGTTTGTTACTCTCTTGTAACACCTCTAATCTTCGGCACTTATATGACCTTATTGTGCTGCAAGTGCCGTAAAACTCTTACTAAAAGGAGGCCCAAGGTCTGTTCACTTTGTCGATACGTTGGACAAAAGTACAAGGTCGAGGGATGTCGGAGATGTATGCCTGCCAGCAGACAGAATGACTCGGTAAATTATTGGTCTCTACATCTAGTCGATAGTTTTGTGTTGCAATCATTTATTTTTGGGTTATTTTCTGTTACATTCAGGGAGCAGAAATGTTTTCCAAAATTGAAAATAGTGAAGCATTTAAATTTGCAAATAACTTGGTCAAGTTGAAGGTATTATAAAGAGGAGAAATATATCATTATCCGAGCCAAAAAGGAATTCGGTAACTTAAATAATTGACATATTTTCCTCAGCACCATACTTTAACGTTCGCCCAAAGAAACACAATTCAAGAGACGGGGTGAGTATTTTTCGAGACTCACGTGGAGACGTCTAGACAGCCGGGGGATGAAATCGACAAGCTTACACTGAAATATGGAGGCAGGGTGGTGTCGCTGTCTCAAAATGAGTAATTTGTGTGCAAAGCTACTGCAAGTCATTTATTCTAGTGATCCTGTTTATGCATCCAAAGAGGGGTTTTTATATGTATTTACGAGGGGCATACCAAAAGTTTTTTACCTCACCATGAAGGAATAAAGGTAGAAAGCTGAAATTTGGGGTGAAAGCCAACAATTATCTTCCTAGAATGCTTGTTAAATTTTGGGGAATTTCAGATTACTGGTTTTACCACCAGCGCACAGTAAGTGAATGGGGGTATGTTGTTCACCAGTTTCAACGTAAAAATGGAGAAAATTGAGCGCAGGGCAGTAATGAAGTATTTGTTCTTGCAAGGCAAGCAACTACAGGATATTTTTACGGAGATGCATGCCGTTTATGGAACTGATTGCCCATCCTATGCTGTGATAAAATATTGGTGTAGAAAAAAGTGATGATGAGGACAAAGAAGTGGTAGAGGGCTGTTTTTCTGACACAGAGAGGGTCCTCTTTTCTCAAGGTCTTTTCAAGGTCATACATCCATGGCAAAAATATGTAACTGGGAGGCAACTACATAGAGAAAGATTAAGGTTAGTGCCAAATTTCAGCTTTCTTCCTTTATCCCTTCATGGTCAGGTAAAAAACTTTTGGTATGCCCCTCGTATATTATATATATGGGACCTAAAGAGAAAAACTTCCTTATAACTGGATCAAGATTTTTGGAAAAAATATTTTTGTTTCGTTGCAGGCCTGCAGAAATGCCATGCCAAGTTACTTGGATATAAGTAGATTAATAAATGAGCTAGAATTTTTAAAGACACGGATGTTTTGTAAAAATATAAAACAAAATATGGCTAGTGGAGACAGCTTTAAAATATAAAATGAAATACAGGTAGGGTAGACGGTTGAAAAATAGAAAATAAAATACAGATAGTGGAGACGGTTAGAAAAATGATAAAAAACCCACACCTGTTTGAGATGGTTGGAAAATATAAAATAAAATACGGCTAGGGCAAACGGTTTTAAAATATAAAAAAAAAAACAGCTAGTGGAGACGGTTGGAAAATTTAAAATAAAATACAGCTAGTGGAGACTGTTGTAAAATTTAAAATAAAACACAGGTAGTGGAAATGGTTGGAAAATGTTTTTACAAAATACGGCTAATGGAAACAAAAATATATAATAAACTACAGCTAGTGGAGACGGTTTTAAAATATAAAATACTGGAAGTGGAGATGGTTTGTAAATATAAAATAAAATATAGGAAGTGGAGACCAACAGAAAGAAAGGAAAAAAAAATACAGCGATTTGAGACGGTAGGAAAATACAAAATAGAGTACAGGAAGAGGAGATGTTTGTAAATATAAAATATAGTACAGGAAGAGGAGACGTTTGTAAATATAAAATATAGTACAGGAAGAGGAGACGTTTGTAAATATAAAATATAGTACAGGAAGAGGAGACGTTTGTAAAT